CTCCTCCAGGGCTATTTGACCCAATCCCTCTAGCTCTATAACCAGGCTGCCACATTTAATTCTCACAACCACCCACCCAAGTGGAGATTCGCTTTGTTGTTTTCCAGATGAAAAAACTGTAGGTCGTTGGACGTTCAAGACTGCACAGCCGATGAGGTAAATACAGGAGCTGGACCGCACACTCCCAGTGGCTCCAAAACACTGTTCTCTGGCCAGTGCTTTCCCAGCTTACAGAGCAAGGCTGGGTGGGTGAGCACCCAGGGGTGAGACACATGAAGGATGTTCACCTTTATCCCTCAACATTCTTGCCAGCTGAGAGGATGAGAGCTGCCTAGTGCTGGTGTCCCTGTGTACTTTTCACGGTCCTTGCTCAAGGGTGACAGGTAACCTGGCTGAAACCCATCGAAGAGGGTCTGAGATCCACGCCGCTCTTGTTCTTCTACCTCTGTCCCAGGAAGCAGAGGGAGGTGGGAAAAGTCAGAGCCCAGAGGGACAAGAAGAAGACCTTGTCTGGGTACACATCTGGAGACCGGTTGGAACAAGTCTCAGAGGATGCCATAGGTCTCTGTCACCCAAGACCAGCAGCTGGCGTGCAAATTAGATTAGAGAAAAGGGCAAATTACGGCCAGGAGAAAAAGACCTTGTTGTGAGCCACATAAAATATCTTACTATTATTATTATTACTATATAAACAAGACCAGTATTTTACAGTGTATTGAGCAATCTCGCTTTACAACAGAATTGTAAGATGTAGTGGGAAAACTCACCAGGAATAGCAGACGGCACAAGAAAATATGCCTGGGTTCCTGTGGGGTTTGGGTATGGATGACAACCCACGGAGGCTCCCCAGTCCTCTCATGAATTTCATCTAAAGACAGGAAAGCTAGCCAAGAAGAGTTGTCACTAACTAACCTGTCAACCTTCTAAAAATTGGATTCCAAAGAATGGAAGGTCAGGGAGTGGCAGCAAAGATAAAGAACAAAGGATGGTGCCGTAGGTAGAGAGCCAGGCCTTGTATATGGCTGAGCTGGTGTTTCCCTGGTGGGCCCAGGTTTCGGTTGTGTAACCACCAGCAAGTGTCATCCTTCAACAATGAAGCCCTGGTGAGGGCTCGCCAGCCTATTTTTGTCTCATGCCTTGTGGGCTGCAATCAAAAGCTCTGTGGTGCCAAGATCAAATGAAGACAGGTTTGAGTCACAGCCACCTGGCTCGGGCCTTGGTGGGTGGTATTATCAAGGCAAGATGGCCTGGAGTAGGGTGTGGGGGTATGTGCTTGTGACTCAGGCTGGTTTCCATACCCAGACCTAGATGTGTGGACAGAACATTCTCTGCTTGTGCCCATAGCCTCCCTGACGCCCTGGCGGCCCATGTCAGAGCATTAGAAAGTGGCACCAAGCTTCCCAGCCCTAACATTCCCGGGGTGTCTACCCTGAGAAGAGCACTTCTTTGAAAAGTGAGCCTTTCTGATGACTTGGTTTGGAGTGTTTAAAAGCAATTTGTTTAAAACATTCACCACTTTCTGAGCCTGCTTCTAGATGTCTGCAATATAAATCATTGACTTTATGTTTCAGATAATCCAAGGAGATAAGTACTCTTGCATCTGTTCTGCAGATGTAGAAACTCAGTAGTTCATGCAGGGCACAGCTGATGGGGATAGGTTTGTAATCTGAAGCCAGGCTTCTGATTCAGAAGCTTGGGTTCCTCCTCCTTATCTTCATTCATATATATATATATATATATATATATATATATATATATATATATATATATATTTCATAGATTTGGTAAAATAAGGTGACAAGTCAACCCAAACACCATCACCTGTGGCCAATCAGGGATTAATAATGAGTATGCACATGCCAATAATCCCAGCACCTGGGAAACTGAGGCAAAAGACTGTGAGTTCAAGGACAGCCCTGGCACCAAAACAAACAAACAAATAATAAGCAAACAAATAAATAGGAAGGAAGGGAGGGAGGGAGGGAGGGAGGGAGGGAGGGAGGGAGGGAGGGAGGGAGGGAGGAAGGAAGGGCTAGAGAGCTGGCTCAGCGGATAAGAGTATTGTCTGTTCCTCCAGAAGCCCTGAGTTCAATTCCAGTAACCACACAGTGGCTTACAACAATCTATATTGGACCCTGATGCCCTCTTCAGATAAAACACTCATACATAAAATAAATAAATAAATAAATAAATAAATAAATAAATAAATAAATAAATAAA